CCCCAAAACCCCAAAACCCCAAAACCCCAAAACCCCAAAACCCCAAAACCCCAGATGGAGTACTATAGTTGAGGGTCTAAGAAAATTAGTTAATCAATTTGAACCAACAATGGATCTCCTTCAGCAAGTCTGATGGAGATAGTTCCACTCTTCACAGCATACTTTTTCAGAACATGAGGTACTCAAAACCGAGATCGACTGGAAAGAGAGTAAACTCCTTCGTCTTGAGGCTTAATCACAAGGCTTAAGTTAAGAATCCGAAGGATCACTTACTTTCGTGAGGCTTAAATTATAACTAAATCAGCCTAAGAGATTTTGATTTGCAGATATCTCTCTTCTGGCAATACTTCTCAAAACCACACCAGTCTCAAATCTTTACCAAGGCTCAAATCTTTTGAATGAGTGTGAATTTGTACCAGAAACAACCTAAAGGCAAGAAGAATCGGCTGGAGAAGACGAAAAGATACTCACCAGTCAGCATTGATGATGGCTACAGAGCCTGAGATGACTGTAACTGGACTCTAAACCAAATTTTTGGCAATCAGGACGACCAGTAATTTGCTAATGCCAGGTTTATTGGTATTAAATTCTCTCTAAAATACTGCTCGCTTCGTTCTGATTTCCGAAAATTTGGTCTATGTCGGGTTTCAAGAAAAACAAGCTCAGAAGGTTCCTGATGGCCTAATGAGTTTACATGGGACTCTTAATGAAAATTTATACTCCAATTAACTGTTAATTTTAGTTCGAGATATCTATTTCTACCAAAAGAAATCTCTGAAAGAGGAGCTCAGATCGCTTAAATAGGCAAAGTAGCTTAAAGAATAAATAATATTAAATTAGCGAGGAACGAAGAATGAGGACAAGAAAAAGAATCAGAGATAAAATTGAAAAGAGTAAGCCTGTTGAAGAGACTATCATTGATCCAGAAGACTTTATCGATGAAGACTATAAAGCAGTGTGAAAGCTCTTAAAGGAGCATGATAAAGCTCGCAAGAATCTCAATAAAAGACACTGCCTCCCTGAAGAAAACTTATCCACAGAATCCGACCTTGAACTTAGAGAACGACTCACCCCAGCCAAAAGCAAGAGCAACAACACTTTTTCAGATTCCCCTCTCAGTGAGAGCGACAGGCCTGAATCTAGCCAGCGAGCTCAGGCTCGCACAACCAAACTCTCAGACAAGAACAAGCCCAAGAGTGCGTCAGACCGCAAGGATCTTCGAAGCGGCCCGACCGAACGGAAGCTGTCTGGAGAGCTCCCCAGCAACAAGCGAAACGTCAAGGCGCTCCAGAAAGCCAAAGAACACTTAAACGAGTTTGTGAGCCTTGTGATGGACCTGAACAACTCGCGACTGACTCAGGCGACCATTGAAGAATGTTCCGAAGCGAAACAGGCCCAGGAGACACAGCGTCCAGGTGAAAAGGACGGTGTTCCAACCGGCAAATGCATTTCTCTGATCAAAGAAGATGAAACTCCTGAAGAAAGCAGAAACGATATGGCTGGAGCAGTACAGAAATTGGCCGAAGAGAAGGAGGCATGGCCAAGACCAGACATCACACAACAAATGAAAGACCCGACACTCAATCCAAGATTCCAGACTACACAGCAAGTGAGGATACAAAGAGCTCCTGCTGGGATCGTAGAAGGAGGAGGTGTTCCGACAGCTATCCCGATCCCAGGTAGCATGGTTACTAACGAGAGGCACTTGACCACTATGTCTGGATATCCTTTGAGGAACAATCAGTGAATCCATGTTAAATGAGCATTTCACATCACTTTGGTCAAGAGACAGTTGCTAATGCAACAGCAATATCTTTACTTAAAGCAAAGAGAAGCCGAATACTTACAACAGATGCAACAAAGAGCTGCTAAAGAGGAGGCTGTTAGAATTCACGAGACGCAGAACTAAGTACACTGGTGAAAAGCTTGAGGCTGAGGACATCAATGAATCTATTCAGAGACTTGTTAGAATGTAGCTACACCAGCCAGCTTCAGCTTGGATGTCTCCACTGATAATAATTCTAAATAAATTTCTGATAAAGTACTTTCTTTACATCAAAGAGTGTATCAAGGTGAAGATCTTCCCCACTCTCATAAATTGTGGTACTCAGTTTGTAGCTAGCCTATCCTTCTCTTTTTATGACTTTGTCAGGAGTTTACTAGCATAGAAGACCATCTATATCGGAGTTATCTTTAGCATTCTTTCTCTTTTGAGGGTCTTAGTAAGGGTAAACCAACAGAACAGATACAAAAGTTCGAGAAGAAATGACACAAGAAAGAAATACATTGGAATTTAAATCTAATAGGCCTTCATTTTCACTCAACTCTTGACCTAGCATATGGGGTTTTGGGGTTTTGGGGTTTTGGGGTTTTGGGG